ATTTGTCGAGGCCGACCCGACATAACAAGAGACAACGAAATAAGACGAATTTCGACGTCGACGAATGACGCCCTAGCGCATTTAAAAGTTTTCTCCTCGTTAAGACGTATTCCCCGGAGTCGTCGGCAGAATCTAACGAGAGAGTGCCATGTTCCGCACTGTTGTTTCGCCCTCTCTCTCTTTTTCTTTCGCTGCTAGAAACACATTTATTAACGGCAGCTCGGCTCATCCCGCCACTAAGTACCGGTAAGAGAGTATACCCTCCCTGTTGCTCTTCCTCTTACCGAGAGCCTTCATTCACTTTGAGTCGGCTGTCTGTCGTGTCCCGTTCGGGGGTTGAGAAAAAAAAGACGTCACATTGTCGACGCCTTATTAATTCGAAGCCGAGGGTGGAGCGAGGCGAAGACTGCAAGCTTCAGCGTGGATGCTCGAGGTGTGTCGCAGGATGGGGAGTCCTTTGAAGAAATTAAAAGAACAGAGGGTATAATGTGAACACATCCATTTCCCCTCCACGGCTGTCGCGCGTCTCTTCGCCGTTTTCCTCGCTCACTGCTTTTCTTCCTCCTTTTCTTTCCGCGCTGTTTCGCACTCTCTTTCACTCCCTCTCTAGCCCTCCTTTTGCAGGATCCATTAACATTGCGCGAACTCTCGCTAAGCACCAGTCAGATAGACATCTCAAGTCTTGTCACGGTTTCTTAAAATCCGACTTATATTCCGAGCTATCTTGACCCATTCTCTCTAAATGTTTTCTCTCGCCCTCTCTCGAATCTTTCTTTTTCTTTTTTATTTATTTTTATATGTCGTAAGATGAGAAATCATTTACTAATTGAAACAATATATATTTCTGCCCAATTGGTAATTTCATTTATTGGTTATTCTTGAATAAATTCACATTTGAAGTAATTTGATATGTATATATTGCGTTGTCACATAAATTGATAAAAATGTAACTTATCGCCATCGTTATTGTCATTGTGCGTGAAATATATCTCGCTATCATATTTTAACAGAATATATAAAATATATGCACTCAGTTTCCAACTTTAGAGACATATATATCTTTTGGACGTTGCCGTTCGAATGGCGCGCGGCCCTCCCGTACATTTGTATCAATTCACATTCGGTAATATTCGCGCGTTTCTGCGTAGCCGAAAAGAGAGAAGTACGGCCATTCCCGCGTGAAGAGCGGTTGTCATAATGTAAGGCATCCGCGTAAGGATGGCAAACGAGAACGTTAGCCGAATAATGCAAAGCAAACCCTAGCTGAGATATAGTCCGGCATTTGTTCATATTAAGGCGCTGTCATGGCTCGCTATGTTCGCGGGTCACCCCTAGGTTCTTCCCTCCTCTTCTTTGTATATCCGCGACATTTCGGCCGCGTGGCTCTATGTGTGTATGTTTTGAAATTATATAGCGCGAGAACGCCCGACGTCGTTAGTCAACTCGTGCCGCATCTCTCGCTGTTAACTATGTGTATCTTGAGCACCCGTTACATCCCCATTTGTCAGCTCCGCTTCGTCGTACGCGCGCAATTTCGCGCGTTAAATCGCGCAGCCAGCGCGATATTTCGGCCGGCTATGACAACTCGCGTCCGGGATTTGTCTTGAACCGATGTTTGCCGAGCAAACAACAAATAAACGCTGCAATGCGAAAGGAATACATTACCAAAGATCGCGTTGTGTCTCGTCACATCGGTCAACATATAATTCGCGTCATGTTCACGAGCAGCGACTTAAGTACAATAGATATTTAATATCGTATTTTTAACAATGATTTTATTGAGAAATAATATCTTCAGAGAAAATAGTAAAGAAATTTTACGTGAAAATCGATGACTATGTTCGTTCTGGAATTCTCCTTGGACATTTCAATGACGAGCAGCAACGTAAGTATTTAATATCGTGTTTTTAACAATGATTTTATTGAGAAATAATATCCTCAGAGAAAATAGTAAAGAAATTTCGTGTGAAAATCGATGGTCGTCATTCAGGAATTTTCTTTGGACATTTCAATTCGAGAAGCAAAGTTCAGACTCGTCATTCCGCAGACAGACTTTGATCATAAGTGACACGCGCGACTTTACGGTAAATCTAAGTTCTAAACTAATAAGGCAACATGCGGATGGCACGATCGGGGGGAGGGCGAAGATAGAAACGGCGATAGAAGCAGAAGGGTCCAAGTTTCATGGAGCTGCGAACCAGGTCACCGATTACGACGTTGATCGTCTACGAGAGACATCCAAATTGGATAAGTTGAAGGAGCGAAATCTTCTCCCTTGCCTATGTGACCCCTATTAAACTTCCAAAGATTTCATTTAGATTTTTCATTTCCACGTCTTTAATTTTCATGTATTTTGAAACACTTGCTGTCGGATGCTAACATCGAATATCTCTTTTTTGTGTTTATTTTTAATTTAATATTTTTATTATTTTCAATTTTGAATGTAATAATAATAATCAGTGTAAGCTATTTTAAATTTTATAATAATTATCCTTCATTTTGGATTCCTACACAGAGAGAATTTTCTCTTAGAATTTACCCTGAAAATTATAATTATGGGACAATGAGGAAGAATTTTATTAGAGTTTCTCTGATTAATATTTACCCTACAATAAAAAATATTAATATCTACAAGATATAAAATATGTTTGATTAATTTTACTATGTATATATATATTAATATTTTTTATTGTGGTAAATATTAATCAGAGAAACAGTAAAAAAATTCTTCCAATACCTCATTCTTCCATAATTATAATTTTCAGGATAAATTTTAAGAAAATTCTCTCCGTATACGTTTACTATTTTTTTCTATAAATATTTACGTTGCTCTCTGGCCGTTTACGAAACATTGAAAGCGAAAAAAGAAGCGGAAAATTATCGCTGATAGAGCACCACATTCGTTTCCCAGTTCGAGTTTTCGCGTCGAAAGAGGACGAAGAGCGCGCTATAAGTGGTTGGCGTCGGGTGTAAATTTGCATTGAACGAAATGAGGCGCTATGGGGCATTCCAGTCCGAAGTTAATAGCTTCCCAACGATTAACTGTATCCCTCCACCCGTGCCCTATACCCTCTTCACTCTCTCCCTCTCTCTATCTCTTCTCCGTTCATCCACCACTCGCTCGCCCTCTCGCAACCCTCGTTCTCTTTCTCTCTCGTCCTCCACACGTGTCCTTCTTGCTCCTCTCGTCGCACGCGCCATGTCCCAGCTACCTATATCGTCCCTCCTAATAATGTATGTCCCAAAGGTCGCGAAATAACTGACTTCGTCGGTCGACGAATATCGTCGGCCGGATCGAGTCGCTAAATTAATCGTAAATTAATCTCGAAAAGGATTATAAAATAAACGCGATTGGTAGTAAAAGTATTCATCTTTTATCACGGCGATTGTGACTTTTGTCTGCCTGACAGGTCATCGATGGCACGTGGGGGTCGCTAAAGGCAGCGCCACTGCGGCAGCCAATAGTTTCCAGACGCGTAAAGGCGCCACGGGGGTTATAGGGCATAATTTAGTGGACAGTTTGATATACAAACAATCTTTAATGAAATTCTTGGTGTTCATTAATAACGCATTACAGCCTCGCGCGCCGGTGTGTCGGCATCGGTACCCGGGAATCTCGCGCTGTGTCTCTCTCTCTCTCTCTCACTCCCTCTTTCTCTTTCCCTCCCGCTCTTTACCACCCCCTTTTATACCCTTCCATTTTCCTGCTCATACTGCCGCCGCTTCCGTGCCACGCGTACCATCGTCCGACACCCTTTATCGCCTGGCTTTCAACCAACCCTCGCTCTCTCCGCCACCGGAGAACCCGATGAATCAACGAATATGTGCGAATATGTTACACATTGTCACTCGATTTTTTATCGATTACGAGCAGAAATCGACGATATAATTGATTTAATTTATGAATTTAAATTTATAGATTTAGATTTATATTTTAGATAATACTTTGCTTATTCGTAACACGTATTTATTTATTTATGAAATTTATTTATTGTATTATATCCTGAATCAATTAATTTTATTTTGAAAAAAGTTTATTTTTGTATACGAAAAAATATTCTACAGAGAAAATATTATTAAAATATATTCTTACTTTTATTCTGAAAAGCCACGTCAGGTCTTACGCGAGCTTGTTTCACTTCCCACCCCATCTGCACATTTTCTTTCGCAATACGACGTCGAGAACGAGAGACGCAACGATACTCGATATATCGAGAGACGAAAAGAAGTCTCCCCCATCAGAGAAACCCGGGGAATAACCATCCTCTGGGTAGAAAAAAAAAGTAATTGCCCCTTGATACACGCCGATACCCCACCTGCGGGGATGCCGCCTCGTAATGATGTTCGCGTTTCGAACTTAGTTCGAAATTAAATATCGGGGCAAGGAGAACGGCGGGAAGAAACGTCGAAGAGGAATCGGGAGGTTGCGAAGAGGGATGAGTAGACGACGTTGCGCACCTGCCTTTTTCCCGGGGGCGGCATGATAAAAATCAAACTGGAAAACAAACGAGAAGCGGGATCGTATTATAAAGTTTTTTAATCGATAGACGATGCGCGTCTCGGGGAGAGGCGAAAGAGGCAGGTTTAAAAGACGGGGAGATATCTCGCGGGTAGAGATAGATGGATAGATGGGGGATGAGAAAAAGAGAGAGAGAGGGTCCCCGAAAGAGAAAATGGCGCGATCGGGCGAAGAATCCTGCGGCGTGCTTACTGGCTCGTGTAATAATGAATTTATACCTCGCGCGGAAACGTTTTCGGGATCGGCGACGTACCACTTTTCTTTCTCGCCTCGCTTGTCTTCTTAAAATTTTAATTAATGAAAAGGTCCTGGAGGTCCGACGAGATCTTTGTTCAGAGATCTTTATTTTGTGGATGCAATGATTCAATTCCCTTGTTAATAATAAACTTATAATATTATTAGAACGATGAAATAATATATTTGATGATTAATTATCAGAATAAATACTAATTTCTCTTTATTTTTTGATTTATTGTTACAGTCGCTACAACCTACGGATCCACCAATTTTTGAAGTCACAAATGTACTGATAAACGAGACAGGAACGCAGTTGGCATTATGGGGCAACTTGGGCATCTCTCTCATGGTGCTACCGAAACGATGGGGCAAGGACGCCGTTTACGAGGGTGGCAAGGAAGCGATTCTCTGCACGTAAGTACACATTTACTTTCAAAATCTTTATTTCTATGAAAATTTTGCTTATTTGTAATACAATTTTAAATATTATATTACACAAGCGGAAAAGCCTCGACTTACTCAAAAGTTTGAGTATTTACCTTAAATCCGTAAATAAAATTTTAATTAAAATGATAGCATCGCAATAACAATTGTGCGAATATATAATATTAATGTTTATATTTATTGTTTTAATCACATTCTATTCTCGAAGTCTTAAAAAATTAATATCATAAGATGCACAATATAAAATGTTTAATAATTATTTATTAACAATTTCTCTGAATATCTGAAGATGTAACAAAATAATTAAATTAGCAATACCGAGATGCATCTCTCGATATCAATCGGCGTCCTCGTTGATTTTCGCGATCTTTGAAGAAATTCGCGTACCGAAAAAAAATCGTAAAAAAAGCAGAGATAAGATTAGCGGCGGATAATAAATCGCGCGTATCTGCTTTTCCCCCGCACCGTCGCTCTGTCTCCCGTAGGCGTCCTAATATCCTGTAATTAAGAGGGTGTTACGGTGACGCCCGGGAAACCCCTTCGGTCTCCCTCTTATGGAATTAAGGTGGCTTTACTCGGTTAGTTTTCAAAAGTTCCGGGGGACCAGGAAGCACCGCTGAATACTAACCGCCTCATCAACGACACATGCCACCCGAGACTACTGTCTCGCGTAACATTACCCCGGCGGTGTGTGCCGGCCCCCGTTTGCGCCCCCGACCCCCAGTCGTAATCTTTCGGACGATTAGAATGTCGCGCAATTACGAGCGTCGGAGATTACTCTGGTCGTACTACTTACTCGTCCGGCGCGTCGCTTAATCTTGGTGTAGTCGATCGTCGTCGATCGATCTCTCTCTTCTGTAAATATAGTGTCGTCCCATACACTTCTATCGACAATTCTTCTATTAACAAATAGATTATTGAAATACATTACTATTAATATACATTAATATATATTAATGTATATTAATGTAATTTGTTTATTAATGGAAGAATTGCCCCTTTGACAATACTGAAGGCACAATAGATCTATATGGGAGGACGCTATATATTTATGGAAAAAAGGGATCTATTGACGACGATCGACTGGAGTAAGTAGTACGACCAGCGTAATCTCCGACGCTCGTAATTGCGCGACATTCTAATAGTCCCGATGTACCTATATTTATGGACGCTATATTAATTAATATGATTAATAGTACATTAATAGTATATATACGACCCCGGTCGTAATCTTTCGGACGATTAGAATGTCGCGCAATTACGAGCGTCGGAGATTACTCTGGTCGTACTACTTACTCGTCCGGCGCGTCGCTTAATCACGGTGTAGTCGATCGTCGTCGATCGATCTCTCTCTTCTGTAAATATAGTGTCGTCCCATACACTTCTATTGACAATTTTTCTATTAACAAATAGATTATTGAAATACATTATTAATATACATTAATATATATTAATGTATATTAATATATATTAATATATATTAATGTATATTAATGGTAATTTGTTTATTAATGGAAGAATTACCCCTTTGACAATACAGAAGGCACAATAGATCTATATGGGAGGACGCTATACATTTATGGAAAAAGGGATCTATTGACGACGATCGACTGGAGTAAGTAGTACGACCAGCGTAATCTCCGACGCTCGTAATTGCGCGATATTCTAATCGTCCCGATGTATATTTATGAACGCTATATTAATTAATATGATTAATAGTACATTAATAATATATAATTAATAGTAGTAATTAATAGTAGCATGATTTGACTTCAAAATCCGACTTTTTTATGAAAGAAAATTTTGAAAATGTTGACGTAAACTGAGATGTTTAAGTAAAACTCAAATCTTTTAAAAGACCATTGTGCGATATATAAAACTATTACAAAAAATTAAAATCTCGACGATAAAAAAAGAGTATCATGCGAAGCTATACCAGAAAACTCATCACTAAATTAAGCGGTAATTAATAGCAAAATACGATGACCCTTAATCCGCCAGGCGGTATAAACGCGAAAAAGGGGTAACCGCTCGTTTTAAGTCGTCCTCCGCATTATAATTTCATAATAAACTGAATTCAGAATAAATGCAGGTACTTTCCTACCGACTTCCTGCTAATTCGTAATTCCGAACTTTTTCCGGAAGCGAACGAACCGCTTGTTCCTCGAGAGGGAGAGAGGGAAAGAGATACAGAGAGGGCAAAGAGAAGAGAGAGAGAAAACGAGAAAAAGAGGAAAGCAAAGCAAGAGAGGAACAAGCGACCGCTGCTAAACAAACTGGCCAAATTAAGAGCGGCAGTTTGCGCTAAAGTTTTTTCGCCGTTTCACTTAGGCGATTTCAACCGGTCTCCTGGTTCGAGCGAATTTATTAAGAACACACATAGAACGCACATTATGCGCGCACACCGCGCGAAAGATCGCAGTTTCTAAGTGAGTCGCGACCATTAGAACGAATCTCGGGGATTTAATGTCTCTCTCTCTCAGCTGGCTTAAATAAGGCTAAATGAAGTTTATGCGTTATTGCCGGCAGAACTTCCGGTGGCTTCGCTTCCTCTCGCCGAGGTCCCGAGCGCGTTATCATTCCACAATTCCAAATAGCTATACATATAAACACGTGATACATGATCAGACCGACCCAGGCGAATGTTTCTTATACCAGATAAAGTCAAAGATACACGGAGAGAATTTTCCCTTAGAATTTAGCCTGAAAATCATGGTAATCGTAGAACAATATGGTATTGAAAGAAAAAAGAAAATATTAATATCTATCACAATAAAGTAGAAAATATGTTATTTTTTATTGTGGTAAATATTAATCAGAGAAATTTTTATAAAATTCTTCTAGTATTATATTGTCCCATAATTACTAGGATTTTCAGAGTAAATTCTAAGAGAAAATTCTCTCCATATATTATTGAAGACGACAAGGAAAATTTTGCTCGTTCTAACTTTGAAAATTACTCGCGCGTTGAATTATAAGCATAATACAAGACTCATCATTTCTTGTGTAACACTGTAATTATTTGCATTTTGTATTAATAATGCATTTAGTCGATTTTAATCGCAATAAGAATGAAAGATCGTTATGATTAAACGCGAGATAAATCGATATCGCTCCGCGAAGAGACGGACATTTGTTCATTCATCTCCGAGTCACGGTGAGCTTCAAGAGCGTTCTCCTTCCAGAGCGATGTAATAATCGAAGAAATTAAAAATGCAAACGTGGGGGGGAAACTTTCGATTGGACGTTCTCGTCGACGCTTCTCGTCGCGCGTCCTGAAACCGAATAACAGGAACAGGTGCCGCAGCTTGCGACCACGTCGGTTGCAGGGAGGACGGGCCTCGGATTAAGCAAATGGCGGCAATAATAGTGATTATTCGGATTATGATATCAGAGCGCGAAGTGGGTTCGCTTGGACTTACCGGCAAACCACTAACTGCCGCGCCGCCAAATCCTGACTTCAAGACACCGGATTAAAACTATTACCACTTCGCGGCAGCCCCTTCGGTCTTATTCCGCTTCATTTCAAGCTCTCCTCTGCCTCTTTCCCGTTTGTGCATCCCCCACGGATTCTCTCACCTTCGCGAAAAACTCGTCCGCCCTTCTCGGATGTTTTAAATGTCCCCGAGGATCAAGAATCTCTGGCAGTTTCCTTTGCGCAAAATCATCCAAAAGAAAAATGTACGGAATGTTGACGTTAATGCAGATTTTATTTTATCGAATTAATGACGAATCTTTTTCATTTGCGATCCATTCGTCACATTTAGAACATGTTTGTGAAATCTTTATTAATTGCCAATGCGGAATATGAATATATTTAGTCTAATATAAATATAATAATTATCTTTCTCTTTCGCGTACTTTTCATTATGCTATTCTTTTGAGAGAAGAGTGTGTGTAAAATATAACGTGAATCTTTATATTTATTAAAAATTTAATTATTAATGTGTTAATATAAAAGATAAATTAATGAATTATTTGATTTATTATAGCATGATTATCTACTATAATTTTGAATTAATATTTTTGAAATATTAGGACACCCTGTAAGTATATTTTTAAGATTTTGTAATATTACAAATATTTATCTAATCATCGAAATTTTTTAAATTTGTTAGTCGACATTAAGCCCGATCTGACATAGCAAGTAGTATTACTTTAGATTTAGTCTGACCAGTTACATCTTTATTTAATGACACCAAATGATTATATGACTGTGATAAAGAGCGTTTTATATAATTAAAATTATGTTTCTAACATACACAAAAATAAAATTGTTCAATTCCTTATCCTTTGAAATTGCATATGGGGATGAATAATAAAAAATCTCGAGATTTATACAATGCGATAGAAGCACTTGTCAAAATATTAGTAAATAACAGCAAATCGGAATAATTAAACCGCAGAGTAACAGTTTACTCTCCTTCCAAAGGCAATATAGGATCCCTTCCGCGGATAATCGCTATAGGAAGTAAGTACAATTCCTAGCGCGTAATGCGGCCACGGGGTGGATCGTCGCGGTATTAATTCGACAACGAATTGCGAAAGCGGCGCCATTCCGCGCGGCGGCCGGAAGATCGTCGCCTCTTGGTTGGCCCGCGCGGCTAATTATTGTTTTAAGGATTACCGTTATGTGTTTATTATGCGGAGGACCTCGCCCCGCGACCACCCCCTTACCACCTGCCTTAATATTCGGTAGATTTCAGCTTCTCGGAACGGCGCAGAGAAATCTACGGCGTTTCTTCTCACTCCGCGACTCGCTCTCCCTTTCCCTTCGCCAAAAGTCAGCCTACGTTTATGAATAATTCTCACCTCTTATAACCAACCCCCTCATCCACCCAACCTTTACCCAATCCACTCGCCGGCACCGCGAGCGTCTCTCCGAAATCGTCCTACGGAATATTCGCCTCGTAAACCCCTAATGCCTGGCTCTTCATCTGCGAGCTTCCAGATTCCGAGCTCCGCGAAAC